ATAACAAAGTGAATCAGTTATACATATACATATATCCCCATATCTCCTCCCTCTTGTGTCTCCCTCCCTCCCACCTTCCCTATCCCACCCCTCTAGGTGGTCACAAAGCACTGATATGTGGCTGCTTCCCACTATCTATTTTACGTTTGGTAGTGTATATATGTCCATGCCACTCTCTCACTTTGTCACAGCTTACCCTTCCCCCTCCCCGTATCCTCAAGTCCATTCTTTAGTGGGTCTGTGGCAGACAGTTTTTTTTTTTTTTTTTTTTTTGCGGTACGCGGGCCTCTCACTGTTGCGGCCTCTCCCGTTGCGGAGCACGGGCTCAGTGGCCATGGCTCACGGGCCCAGCCGCTCCGCGGCATGTGGGATCTTCCCGGACCCGGGCACGAACCCGTGTCCCCTGCATCGGCAGGCGGACTCCCAACCACTGTGCCACCAGGGAAGCCCAAGCAGACAGTATTTTTAAGAAACGATCATACTTTGGCTGTTTGTCTTCTGCTTTGGGGACATCCGTACTTGACGCCTCTTTTGTTCTTTTTGTTTTTATATTTGTTTTCTTAAAATTTCTCTGAATTATACACAAATTTAGTAGAAAAGAGCACTTCTTAGTTTGGATTACTTTTGCCTCTATATTCTAGCTCTTTAATAGCCTTGTATTCTGAAGGATGGCAAAACAGATTGGTTCTGAGAATGAGTTATTTGTAGACTGCCTTATAAAACAGATGTCTGTGGGAAAAGGGTGTGGTGTGTATAGTTTTAAAGGAAGGGACATGTATGAGAATTTTCATAAAACCTAAGCTTTTCCATATATAAGAATATTACAGAGCAACTCTTTTTCTTTATTTTTTTGCCTTTGGTTCTCAAGCTTCTGTAAATGTCAAATCTTTCTGTGTCTTTGAGAATGCATGATCATTTCAAGATTATTTTCCTTTTCCAGCTTCTAAAAATCCACATTTAAACTTCCACATTTCCTATAATTTGTTTGAACCCATAGCTGTCAACAGTACTCCACACAGGGAAATGCAGAATCTCTACCAAAGTTATAAAAATAGAATAGACATATAAAATATAGATGATCTGACAGTGTTACTTAAATCGTTTTGCTAAAGGTCCTAAACTTTTTTCCTCTTATCCTGGCACACTGGTTTTCAAGATTAATGAGTGCTTATCCCTTAATGCTCAGTAGATGCAAAAACAAAAGGATAGAATTCATCTGGAGGAGTTATGGGGAGAGGTGGGAGCTTAATTGTTATTTTTCTTGAACAGTGTAGTTTGCTGTTAAGTATTCGTTAATTTCCTCCTACAATGTATTTTGGCTGGAAGATATCTTAAAGAAAGGAAGCTGTTCAAACATGCCTTGTAGTTGATCTCTTAATCCAAATCGCCCTGTTATCTCATTCCAGTTCTGGGTATCGAAGTGTAAATGTTCATGGGATTAGATGATTGGATTACTTGAGTGATAACATTTTAAAACAAACGTAAAAGCATATAAGGATCCTGTGATCTGGGAGGGTATACTCACTACTAAAGTGACTACGAGTTCTTGAAAAAACAGTTATTATAACATCATTTTTTTGTTTAGTAGCATTAAAGATTCTGGCATTCAAAATTTATCTTTAGGGCTTCCCTGGTGGCACAGTGGTTGAGAGTCTGCCGGCCGATGCAGGGGACACGGGTTTGTGCCCTGGTCTGGGAAGATCCCACATGCTGCGGAGCAGCTGGGCCCGTGAGCCACGGCCGCTGAGCCTGCACGGTCCGGAGCCTGTGCTCTGCAATGGGAGAGGCCACAGTGGTGAGAGGCCTGCGTACCGCAAAAAAAATATATATATATATAAAAAAATTTATCTTTATTTGCTGTTAATTTATATAGTTTATGAAACCTCTGCACTCATACATAATATGAAAACAAACCGTCATCCTTGCTTATGTTCCCAATAAAATATTCATTCTCTTAGGTAAGTTCAGATAACCAAAGCAAAATCCAACTTTCATGGAAAATGGGAGACGGTAGGGGGTAGAGGTGCGTCTTTACCTCCAGGCTCTCGTGCTTCTCTGCTCGGCTGCACTTCCATCCAGTAGTCACCCTCCAGTTGCTCCACCCGGCTGCCTGTGGCAGGGCGACTGTCCCCTGTCCTGAGAACTCTCTGCTTCTGATCCATCCCCTGCTGGAGACCCACCATCTCCATTCCTACTAGTAGTCTTCCTCCTTTCTCCACTGTTGTTTCGAACAAGTGTGATACTTTAATTGTACATTTATTTGAGATTTCTATATTTTACCCAGATCTTTCCTCAGGACTAGAATTGTCTCTGCCAGTATCCTATCTACCAGTGGTTTCCTTAGTTCTTTCAAAACGTGGTATTTTTAAAATAGTATTTTAAAACACTATTTTAAAAGTAGTGTTTTAATAGATAGTTGTCAAAAATATGGTTGAGGAAGCATATTAAATATTTGACATTATACTGATTAAATAACTCTATGTAAATATCCCCCCACAAAACCTTCATTCAGTAGACTAATTTCTGTCTTCTTGTAATTTAATGTGTTTATCGTATAGAGACGTTTAACGAAATTATTTGACCTATCCTATGAAAGGTAAGTAGAAATCAAAATTCATTCTGTTATATTAACAAAAAGCCATAGTGATTTAAAACAAATTTAATGTCTTATTAAAATTACTTTCTTTATTGCAGGTTGATTAGAGCACATGCTCTAATCTGAATTTATATAATCTTTCAAAGAACATATTAATGTATTTAATCAGAGCATTGCTATTGTTATAAAAGTTTTTACCTTTGTTTAATCGTCATGTACTTTTTTTAGACATTTCATCACCTGTTTCTTCCCCATGTGCGGTAAGAAAGGAAACGGTAATTAAAGCTTTGCAAAAGCCAATATATTTCCCTACCCCACAGATATTCCAAATTAAATAAAGTGAATGAGGTTAGCATTATTAAAGTTGGTTGCTAGCTAGGTAATAGGGTTAGGTAATAACGATGACATTTATTCTCCAAATACTTTTGTTTAATAATTAATACTACAGGTAAAAAACAATTTGCAAGCATCCTCTGTGTATGACAGTTTAATTAACAGGGCATAATCAAAATTAGATATGAAGAAAAACAACTGAATTCAGTGCAAAATACCAGAAGCTAAAGGTCCAAGAATTTATTCATTCAGACACTAGGTAGAATGAATTATCATAGCTCTCAAGCAAAAATAAAATAGCAGTATTCAGTTAAAGGAAAACTGAAATACAATATAATGTTGGTGAATGTTATAACAGTCAGTCTAAGTTTGACTGCATCAAACAGAAGCCCAAAATAATGGTGATGGAAGTTTATTTTTCTGAAGTCAAAAACATCCATAGTGGATAGTCTGAAGCTGACAGTGGCTCCACTGTGTCCTCAGGGACCAGCCAGGCTCTTTGCCATCCTTAGCTTTGGCTTTACTGTCAAGGTTAGCTTCTGGCCTTCAGCGACTCTCAAGGCTCTTAGAAGCTGGAAAAGTGGGTAGGGCTAGAGATGAAAGGACTTTCTTTCTTGTAGAGTTGAGTCATTGCCCTCTAAGCAGCCTTCCGAGGTGGCTCACCATCTTGTTAGACACAGCTTGGTCACATGACCACATGAGACTGTGAGGGAAACTGGCATATGTTAATTAACTTGATTGTGGTGATTATTTCAAAATGTATACACATTAACAAATCATCATGCTGTACTATATGTATATGTGTGTGTGTGTATGTGTATATATATGTATATATATATATACACACACACACACAATATTTGTCAATTATTCCACAATAAAGCTGAAGAAAAAAGAAAAGGGCTTAGAGGCTGGAAAAACCTAACTGTAGAAAATAGGAGGAAATGGATAAATATATAAATTGACAGTTGAAATCTGAATTTTATTCTCAACCTACGAAGCAGTGCATATTAGAAAACCTTTCTTTATGCTCAAGTGAAAAAGAGACCATCTGTATAATTACTGCATGGGTTCAATTATAATTACTCCCC